AGCACTCCCTGATTCCAAAACCCTTTTCTTGAATTTGCAACTAATTCTGTATAGTCACAGTAAAATTTCTGGCCCTTACTGTTACATACTTCACCTGCCACCAAAACAGCAAGTACTGTACTGCCACTTTTCAAAGGGTTAATTGCAATTAATTCTGAATATCAAGACCTCTGAACAATTTCAGAAGTGTACAGAGAACAGAACCATACCATATGAATAACACATCCCACAAACTGTTTTGCAAGAAGCTAAATTTCACTAAAAACCTGAAGATGGGACAATTCAGACCTTAACACACCCATAGCCTTTTTTACTTTTAAAGTTTAGTAGATTCTGAATAAAAGAACAAACTGCCAATTAGGGAAAAAAATTAAAAAGGTTTCTTTGGTCAGGGAGGGGTCTGTGAAGGCTTTTATTGTCACACAGCTCTAGAAAGAAACTCTCCATTCCCTTGGTCTCCCTTAGAAACTTAAAATCCCTTAGATACTCTCCCTTCCCTTGATCTCACATATCAAAGCATGGTGCACAAGCTGGGCTTGCTTTGGATGGGCTCAGTTCTACAGAGGGAACTCATCATTCTGCATCATATAAAAATTCTTTTAAAAAAAACAGCTACAGAAACTACATCCAAAAGCAGCAGAAATGCAGGCACCCTGTATTAATGGAGCCAATAATAATCTACCATACTGGAAGGGAAAAACACCCTTGTTATCCTTTGCTAATGGGCCTTTGCTGAGTCCATTAGTCACCAAAGACCCACTGCAGCACACCTTCAACACAAGTTTTGTCTGCCACTTCTACCTTTGCCTGCCCAGAGAAACAACAGCTATTGGTGCTCCAAGATTGATTTTACCTCCCCACGTCAATCACCAACAGCAACGGCAAATCATCAGCAGTAGTCACAGCCGTGGTACCTGCAGTCAACCACAATGTTTTTCGAGTAGGTTTTGTACCAGATTCACCACTGAAAACAGATTCACTGTTGAAACTGCAGACTCAATCTAGTAACACACAAGAAGGTACACCCCCAGTTCTCCACCTTGTTTTCCCACTTAAATCATAGGTCTTACACACAGTAGCACCACATCTTTCCTGCGAGGGCAGCCCTGCAGCCTCATAATTAATAGTGCGAGGCAGCACATTTCCCACAAAAACTAGCAGAAACATGCTCTGAGCTTCAGCAAAGCTTTGAAATCACTGGGCAAGGACTACATAGCTGGAGTAAATACTAATGGCCACTTTCCTGACCACTGATATACCAACTTCTAACCTCCACAGCAGTGAGAAATTCATATGTCAATCACATGTTAAGCCCCAGTTTTCTTATCCCCAAAGAAAGCAAACCAATTATTGTGTAAAATGGGAATGCTGATGCACATCATAACTATAGCTTTGTCTATTGACCACAAAGATATCACCAACATTTTGGACTGGGGAAGGAACTCATTTTGCAATGAGGAAGGAACATATTGGCAGAGCTGTCAAGAGTCCTGTGCTTCCCACACAGTCCCAGGTTTCCAGTAGGAACTGCAATCTCCAAAGACCTCCTTCAGACTATTATTATCTGTCACACTTTTGCAATTCAGCCTCTGCTAAAATTCAAGGCCAAAACTCAAGACACACACCTAGTCTGTCTCGAACCCCAAGAAGATGGAAACAGCACCTCTGCCATATAAGAACTGGCAGGAGGACACAAACTCTTAAACGTAACAGGAATTTGGGATAGTTCCTCAACGGCCTTTAACCAGAAGCTTGTGCTTCCTCTGAATGCTATGTGATATGAGGCAAGGAAAAAACCACACTCTGCAGAAGTAGTTTGCGCAGTGAAATCAAACCTCCTCTGTTCCAGCTTCCAGCCACATGTAAAGACAAATTTCACTGCTACAATGCTCACAAAGAGAAGCACTCAGTGTCAAGAGCAAAACCACACAGACACCTCTCCAGAAACACACACCTTAAGGCAGGTCTGAAAGGACTGACAGAGCATCATCTCTTTCCTTCAGAAAAACACTGAATCCCAGACCAAACAAAGGTTTCCTAAAACTAAAATATTCTGATTCCTAACAATACTCCAGTTCTGACTACTCCCTCAGATGAGGAAGTCTGGATGTAACACACTGCTGCACGGGGCAGCAACAACATGCCTGTTCCTTCCCCTTGGACAGCCTCTTCCAGCAAGATCCCAGTCCCAAGAAGAGACAAGAGCATGGCGCACAAAGGAGAGTCTCCAGGCACTGTTTTTAAGCAAAAACCAAAACAACCCCCCCCTTATTTTCCTAACAAATTTTGCAAAATGTTCTTCTGTATTCTTTCCCCTCTTCAGGCCAGATAGCCAGGAGATTCAAATCCAGCATGCCTTGAACTGAATCAGAAACTAAGGTCAGCTAGAAAATGAGTGTGCAAACCTTCTGTCATCTAAACTGGGCTTTTAGTAAGTTACTAACACCATGCCCCCATCCCACAAGAAGCAATTACTTTTCTGACCACACAAGATAACCCTAGGATCATGGAGTTCAGACTGAGGATGGAACCAGCCTTCTGGTTTTGTCTCAAAATAGCATCATCATCCCAGAATGCATTTCAGGGCAGGCAGGCAGGAACAGTTAGTCATATGCTTTCTGCTCTCAAGTGCAGAACAGGAAAGGACACATGACCAAGAGCTAATAAATCAGTAGAATGCACAAAACTACCCTTAATCAGCTGGCATGTGCTAGTATTTACAAAAGACCCAGGGTGGAGCTATTTTATTTCAGCTCAGCATGGCCCCTGATCATTACACCTGAAGATGCTGACAAGCACAACTTGTGAGGTTTTTATTCTCCAGACTACTTCTAATAGGATTTTTCCAGATTTTCTCTGATTGTTTGACTCCAACAACAACCCAGCCCTGCCTGATTCTCTGAACAGTTAAAATTATTAATTATTGACAAAAAAAACCTGAACAGCTTCACCCCAGAGCCTGGATTACAACTCAGGCCTCTTTGATCAACTTCATAAATCCTCTTTCCAGAAGATGAGACACCAGCAAGTCTCAAAACTACATGGCACAAATCCTCTATCCAGAGCTGTGTTCATGGCTATCCCAGTGCCAAGGCATTGCACCACACTCCATGTGTGGGACTGCCACATGCCTTCAGATACATCAGCTACTGGTGAAAACTGGCCAGCAACAGACAAGAACACAAGCTTCTCTGAGCTGCTTCTGTACTATACAGAGACATAGCAGAGACAGAGAGTTCACCGGAAATAGAAATTTAAACCACGATGGGGAAGAGATCCCTTTCAGAATGCAGGCACAACTCCCAGTCAGCCATCATACCACCCCGAAATCTTTTCAGGAAGCTAGCTAATGCTTCATTTGCTATCCTAGACAGTGTCAAAAGGCTACATTCCAACAGCCACTGAGGCACACCTCCACTGCAGTGATACTCCATTCAAAGAGCTTGCAAAAAAATAAATCATGTTACCTTGGAACAGAAATCCCGCAGACAGAGTGGTGCTTACATCAGTAGGCAGCACACAAAGTGTATCCTTGGTTTGGGCTGACATTCCAGTCTTATCAATGTCTCTGATCTAAATTCTCTGCTAAGCGCTTTGTCTGAAGTGAAAAGCAGGATCACTTAACTCACCCTTTCCCAGAGTCCTGCTCTCCTAAATGCATTCCAAATATTCTAGCTATTATCACTGAAATGGTAGAATCCATACATCTGCCCCTTCCAAGTTTCAGTAGCAGGGAGACCAAGGTGCAGACCCCTATAAACCCCAGGCCTGAAACTCCAGCTCCCTGGAAAAGAAGGTTAGTAACACATTCGCAAATGAAAGCACTTCTGACAGATTTCTAAGACCTAATGACCCAAGTGTTAAACATCACGCCACTTCTGACAGATTTCTAAGACCTAATCACCCAAGTGTTAAACATCTCGCCCGTCAACCTGAACAGGAGACAAAAGACAACAAAGAGACAAAAGACAACAAAGTTTTAAGTTTGCCTTTATATCTTAGTTCCACAAAATATGAAACATGAGAGATTAGAAAAGAAAGCTCATTCTAGAAAACTACCTAGAAAATAATGATGTCAGGACAACTCTTACCAAAGTAAGTCCCTGATGCTCTTCCCTTTGTGGTCAAACCCTGCTGCAGAACAACCCTGAATCAGGAGGACTCCAGCTTGTGTCTGCTTTGCTGCAAATTCACATGTTGGGTAGGGACCAAGGTACAGAGAAATGGCAATAGGAGAGATAGGAGGTGGCTATAGATAATCAAGGAGGAACTGTGAATCAAGTCACAACAGGTTGAAGAGGTGTTTAGGTTTTTACAAAACAGGAAACACAAGACAAACTGGGCTGGCCCTTCCCTCAGGCTTAGCACAGCAACCTAAATAACATCCCCAAAACTCTTTCTTACTGAGTTTCCAACAGTAAATCACCAAGGGTTAGTGTAAATAAAATAATAGAGACAAGACAAGAACACAGAGAAAATCAAAATGCTTGTGACCCTGAATGATCAGGTCTTACCTTGTAGTGAACCATAGGCCTGTTGCCCCAGTTTCAGATTTCTGTACATGCTGCTTCTGGCCAGGATGGCCAGCTTTGGCCGTTCAGATATGAAAGCTGCCACCTACTGTGGATTACTGTCAGCTGAGGACGTTACAGCTGTATTGCTTCACTAGGTAATTTCTGTGCCACTATCACGCAAACACCACATTTCTGCTCAGGATATAGTCAAGAGCCAAATTTCAAACAATTGAGCAAAACAACTGAGTCTCACTAATAACATAGTTAAGACAGCAACAGCCAAAGCGGAATGCAAGTTTAACTGAGATCAATGGGAAATTACACATATCACAAACAGGGAAGAAGTTTGGTGCTCCTTCCCTTTATGGTGCCAGCTGCCATTGCTACTTAGGCCTGGCATGCAGCAGATGCCCTCAGAGTCCTATTAGAAAGGCCCTTCCTCAGTCCAGCTGCAAAGTCATCAAAGGAGAAAACAAAGACCCCTACCTGCTACCTCCACAATGTGGTGCCTGGCGATATCATAGTAGGGGTCATCCCACTGCAGGTGAGTGATGGGCTCAGGGGAACCTTTGAAGTCCTCTGCACAGAACACAAAGCACAAGCAATGAGAAGAAGGGATCTGAAGCACCTTGGCGAGGGGTACAAAAGAGACAGAGGTGGGAGAAGAAATGACAGCTTTACATGGGAGCAACTAATGTATGCACCTGTACACCTTGAAAACCCGCTTTTGAAATTCTGAGTGGCAAGAGCAATGATGACTTCAGAAGAGACCTGTGAGTTCTAGGAGGTCCATAGGTCCATGTGTCCTATGGTCCAGTCCTATGAGGTCCATGTGTCCTTCAGAGTGTACACTCTCTCAAACAACTGTTCAGATATGTAACAAATATTCACAAAGATAAAATTCAAAGACACCATCATGACTTTTTAGAGGAGGATCTTAGCATTGTCCCTTGGTGGATGGTCATGCTATATGCCCTCGAGCTAATTTCCCTGACCTCTTTGTGCAGCAGTTCATAGCAGAGGATTTTAGAGCAACAACTCAAATCTCGAGCCCCACCTCCCATGTGGAAGTTCGAGACCCTTCCAGTCCAGCAGGCCAAACTATCCTGCAAGAGACCATAACAGAGGGCACTCAATGATTTACCGCACCTCTGTAATGTCAGCACCAAAATGCAGCCAGGCATGGGACTGAGAAGAGTCTATTTACATCAGCTGGCTCTGTGCTTTTTAATGCTGTTCAGTAGCAGGGCTAATTCACTTGGGTGTGGTGCAGGTTTAATGTGTCTATAAAGCTTTTAAATGGAGCTGGGGCTCTCTGTATATGACCACAATGCTGCAAGACAAACAACTGCTTTTTGGCCGAAAACCAGATCCCAAAGGAGCAAGATGCTTACCTGATTTTGGAAAAGCAGGGGCTTCATCTGCTGGCCAGTTCTTATCATCTATGGAGGCCAGTTTGAGCTGGCCAAGGGACTGAGTGGTATCATCCAAATTCAGGTCATCCTGAAGCTCCGAGAGTGGGTCTGTAGCCATGGTCCCCAAACACCGCAGTTTATTTAGCTGCGCCTAGAACGAGGACTGCAGAGATCACTAGGTGAGACACAGAGATCATGATTTACCTCCCCACAGAGGCTCTTCCTCTTCTTACTGGTTTTTCCCAAATACTTCCTTATTTTTACTTATCCAGTGATTATACTTCCCCACACCCTTAATACAGGCAGGAACTTCTCCTCAAAGCCAGGAGCACCAACATATGTCGGATTCTTTCATGCCAATTGCTATCAAAATGCTGTTAGGAGCTGTACAAACCCTCTTGGTGAGCCTCTGACCACACCTCTGTATAGTTTCGCTCCTGAAACAGAAGCAGCAGCAAGACACTGAGGAAGGCGACAGGCTACACCAGCCCCTGCCTGATACACTCGCTGTACCAGCTCCGAGCTCCCCCTCCCTCCAAAGGGCTGGCACAAAGCCCAGCTGTTTCCACAGTTGGCCCAGTGCTGGAAACTTTCCCAGGAATCACAAGTCCCCTGCTTCTCCCCATAAGGGAGAGCTAGAGCTCTCAAAACTGAAGTGGGTGCTTCAGTGTGCTGGGATCTGAACACAGAAGTGAATAGCTCCTTAAAACAGGATTTTATAGGCTGAGCTAGTAAGACATGGAGAACAATATACATAGAATCAAGGAGAACAATACACATACAACCCTCATCTTTCAGCATCATCCGGTAAATCCTTTCTCCTACATGACAGCAAGCAGCAAGCACTATCTCTTTCATTTAAAGCCATACTGTCAGAATTTTTCACCAACCATGCCATAATACTGAGGAGAGCAAAGAATTAAGAAGGTCCAAGAAGCAGCCAGCTCAGTACATCTTCTGTTGTCTGCAAATATTTCTCACTCTCACCTGGAGCTGAAGATACATCAAAGCTAGGACTGAGCTAGCACAGTATACAGCACCTCCTAAGGGTACCAACTCTTAGGGACAACCCCTGGGAAACAGCTGTTATCCTCTAAAGTCAATGTCCTGGAACTAAGCAAGGAAATATTGGAAAGGACTACATAGATCTGGATTGCTCATACAGACCACACAGACAGTAATTCAGTGGTCAACAGGCAGCAAGCCAAGAGAACTGTAGCAAAACGACACCTTGCAATAGCAATAGTCTCTGTAATGCTGTTTGCTTATTTTGCATTATGAGAAAATCAAAGGGTTCAAAGATGACCCAAGGAGGCACAAAGCCTTTGTGCGAAAAATATATTCACGGTAAAGCTATTCCTTTAGGAGAACAGGGTAGGGGCAATGATGCTTCGCATCTTCCATCCCTAGAGCTTGAACACATGTATTTATCAGAGAAAATTATGAAAACAATTACTCAGATCCGAGCACAGAGGACTCAGCCTGTGAGAGACTGAGCACTGGAAGGCCTCACGTTCATGCTCAGGTCTATACTTGTGACCAAGCTTGGGGATGCATTTTGAGAGCACAAAAATTGGATATTCAGGGTTTTTCCTCTCCCTCTGGATCACACCCACCAAGTTTATTTCTTACTTCCTGTCCTCCTTTATCTGCTACTCACCAGTTTACAAACAGTTTACACCTCTCTGGGGCTCTCAAAAGGCTGGGAGCTATTGCTAATCAAGTGAAATGCTTCCCAAGATATGAAAAAGCATGGCATATATGGGCAGTGGATCACCAGGACAGCACATCAAACACACAGCGACTAACCACTGCAGCCAAGCAAAGACCCAGGCAAAATTATTCCCTGCCCTCTGGTGAGGGCTGCAAGAGCTGCCTGACCTCCTCTGATCTCGACAGGACAAGGAGCAAGAAATCAGGTTGTCTTGCAGTGAGCTCATCCTGGAAACACTAAGCAGTGGAGCCAAGGGACAAGAGCACCCCACCCCTCGCAGCTGATCTGATTTCTATGGTAACCACAGGCACTGACTCCTATGACTCAGCGAGCTTAAAGTATTCCCACAGCAGTTCAGCACACCAAGACCAAACACCCCGTGCTGAGGAAACATCCAGGGCAGTCTCTCGGTATTCCCAGCTCCCAGGGACTTCCGGGCCCTGGTGGGGACAGAGGACCTACATTCCACTGCTGACATCCACTGAGATGCCTTCATGTGAGATTCTTGACGACGCCCAGTAGCAACCATGTCCCCACAGAAAGGTCCTGAAACGCTTAACAACCAAATCCAAATGCTCCCACAGAGCAATGGTGGTACTGCCATAGGGTTAGCAAGACACCAAGTGTCCTCACTTGACCCTACACAGGTCACCACTTAGCTTCATAACTTGCAGCACATGATCAAAGGCAGAATAGCTGGTTATTAGACAGCACTGGGGGATTTCCCCAGAGACATAAAACCCAATCTCAGTGTGGAACCATGTGGAAGAAGGAAGTCATTACGAGGATCACACTGGAAAAAGAGCCCATCAGGTAATGCTCTTGCCAAAACCTTCCTTATCCCTTGGAAAAACAGACCAGACTCTCCAGGTACCTCCATGTGCTTTTCACAGCCAGCTCCATTCCTGTGCTCTAGGTTAGTGCTCCATGGTGTTAATGGAAGGATGCAGCACAGAAGACCTCTTAGATTTCAGTTCCTTCTTTTGTAGCACGCAGAAAGCCCCAGGACTTTTGCAGAATTTTCTGCAGCCCTTTCCCAACAATGCAAAAGACAAAAGCACGGGGTCTTATATCAGATAACCCTACAGCACTGTAGAGAAATATAGTCCTCTAAGTGCTTGGGAACTAGCAGGCTCTGAGAAGGAAAGATCTGGAATTAGGATGGCAGAACTACTCGAGGATCTTAGTATAAGAGTATATACTCCACTTCGTGACAGTGCAGCTGCATGAAATGTTTCCCTGTGCACTCAAAAATGATCCATAATCAGGACCTGTCATTAAACAGAAAGTCTGTATGTATCTTGGTGATATGGTTGTTAAAATGGGTGAAGTGGTTCTGACGATGCAAACGAAACAGCATTTCACCAGATTTAATTCAATTTTAAAACCACACTTGTTTTAGATATATGTCATGACAAGATGGACGTGATACACCCTGTATAGCCAGTCATAAGGTAAGAAAAATGACACACCTAGATTGAACAAGTAAAAAGCTTAGTCAAACTAAAGAATCACACTTGACATCAGAAGCATTTACTTACTGCCAGGCTCCAAAGAGCCAACTGTTTCCATTTTTCCAAGCATTTATGTATGTTTTCTACACCTACACTGGCTGACCTGAACACTTGCTGTCTAAGCTTTTGACCTCCTTGATAAGAAGGTCAACTTTTGACCTTCTTGATAACAGAGATGTGTAGGAAAACAGCACATTCTGCTAAAGAAGAGAAAACTCATCCCTTTGGAATAGAATTGTCAAACGAATTCTGAGCTGGAGATTCCTTATACAAAATCTCACCAGAATTTATCCAGGCAAGACCATTCACTTGTATCTATGAAGTCTTGGTAGCTGCTGTTCATGCAAACTATTTTTTGCTGCAATTCCAGTTTCACCGCTTTTCCATCACTTATTTCTAAGTTGCACCTGCTTGGTAGTTGCCTTTTCCTGTTTTTCTTCCAGATGTACTATTAATTCAGAAGTAAATCCACACACCAAAAGATGCCCATGCATATAGTACCATACCCTGGACCTGTACCTACAACAAAGAATTACAAAAGCCAAGTGGCCTTTTCTTCTGTGTCTGCTTAACAAGCAATGCTCAGACCCAAAGCAACCTCAGTTCTGGGATTATTTTTCTGACTCTGCTGCCATCCACACCTTCCAGTTTTGTCTCACTTGCACAAATGTCTGTTTTTATGTACACATAAATCAGGCCCCTGCACTTTGCTATAGCATTAAAATCAAGCACACTGCAAGACAAGGGACCAGTTACTCAGCAGCAGATCTTCAGAGTAATCACTTGCATGAACAAGCTCCAGAACTGAGACTCAGTGAGAAAGTCCATCCCAAGTCTTCCCTCACATCAAGACTGATGATACCACTTAGAGCATCACTACCCTGGTACTACCCTGAAAGAGCCAAAGGGTCAAGGGCCAGACCAGCTTTGCCTGGCTCAGGGCAGATACACTATTGCTCAGGGACCCTTTGGTCCTTCACTACTGTAACTGGCTTTTGATTGAGCAGCCTTCCCTCCTTAATCATCTCAATCCATTTGCTGAAGGCCACCTTTGTGCCCGCTAGAAATGCATCCCAGCTAGCAGTCTACCTCCTCGCAGCGGTTCTCTGGAGGGTCAGAGCAAAAGCACTGAGCTCTCCAAGTGTCCTCTCTGGAGCTGCAGCACAAGGTACAGACTGCTGGAAGCGCCGTGCAGGACCTCCCCATCACGCAGGAAGCATGTGAGGCAGCAGGGCACACACACGGGCCACACCTCTCCTGCTCACCTGCACTCCGCTTCGGCTGAGCTCCTGTGACAGCCCCGAGCCAACCTAAAGATTCAACTACGAGAGTCACAAATTTGCTATTTCCAGCGCTAAAACAAAAGCACAAGTCTCCACAGTACACGCCAACAGCTGGGCA